CTCCACCCTTCCTTAGGTTTGTTTCCTGTCTCTCGCGGGTGGAAAGCGAAAGCAGTGTGGGAACTGCTCTTTCAGAGAAACAAGGGGGTTAGCAGAATTCATACTGGCTGCAAAACAAGACAGCAAACAAAGCCTGCAAAAAGCCCTGCACCGTTGCAATGCTTCTCAGGCAGGGCCGGCTCCCACCTTTTTACTTCAGCAGCAATTCGGCGACGGGTCCTTCGCTCCGAGAGGAACTGAGGGACCTGCTGCCAAATTGCCGCTGAAGACCCGGACGTGCCGCCCCTTTCCATTGGCTGCCCCAAACACCTGATTCCTGCGCTGGTGCCTGGAGCTGGCCCTGTTCTCAGGTGATGTACAAGCACCACGGAGCTGCAGCTGATGCTGGGGTGGGGTGGCTGGGTGACAGCTGCAGTGTCACACTGCAGTTTTCTCAGTAAGGACCTTGCTGTCACCAGAGGTTGTTCTGAAGCTGACAGCTGTAGAGGGCTCCAGGAGCAGCTCCTTTTTCAGGCTTTTCACTGCTATTGGGTATGAAACTGCTCCAGTTCACTGGTCGCTTGACCAGTATCCTGCTCCTTCTTCCCCTTTTAGGGCAATCAGAGCAGCAATGTCTGCCTGCATCTGCAGAGAGCCTGAAACCGCAGCTCGGAGAGGTGTGAACTGCACCAAGTGTAACTGACACAGCGTCACTGCCTGAGTCTGCAGAGAGCCTGAGCCCATCGCTCGGAGAGGTGGGATCTGCCTGTGACATTGCAGGTTTACCCAAGGTGTCCAGGGTGAACCACTATCACCTGCTCACAGTGTGGGAGAGACGTGCTTGTGGCCAGTTGGGGGAATTCACCCGTAACTGCCGGATACTGACTGCAGTGGCACTCCGCTCTGAGCTCCCCAAGCCCTGCACTTTCCTCTGCCAATGAGCAATTTAGACCTCCTCTCTGCTGCACTCGAGTGCCCCATCTTTCGTTATCAGGACAGCTGCAACGTGCACCGAGCCGCTGCCTCTTGCAGCACCCCCCAGCACCGACAAACATAAACTGCAATCCTGAGCCTGCCCTTATTACCCAGTTCCTTTCTTGTCTAAAGGATCTCTCCCCCAGTGGCCAGTCTGTGCAGCGGCTGGCCAGTGCAAAGGGCTGGTACCCATCTCTCATGAGAACTTTCCCATGGGCAGAGCGTCCTCTCTATGACGGATCCTATCTAGTGCCCCTTTTCCTTCTCTTATACAGCCCCCAGCTTTGTCTCTTTCCACAGTCAGGGTGTTTCAGCTCAGCTCCGAGGGGCCCGGTTCAGAGTCTTTCCGTGGGTGCTATTGTCTTTGTCCATGCGCAGGCCTGCAGCTGGTCCTGCCTGTAAACACGGGGCTGAGCTGGGTGGGAAGATGTCGATTGATCTCACTCTTGTTTGAATCATGACCTTTGGCCCCAAATCCCCCACAGCACATGACATTTGGACCCAAATCCCTGCCTGTTAGAGAGCTTATTCCTTCACTCTCCCACTTCCCTGGTCCTTCTCACATGAACAGAGAACAACAATACCCGAAGTCCGAAGGTGCAAACAATTTGATATTTATTAGGGTGAACTTCCAGCAAGCTTAAATCCAAGTTCCTTTTTCCTTATTTTTGAATCCCAACTTACTTCCTGTTCGCCCCTTGTGATGGGTTGGATCACAGAAACCCCCTGGGAGCTGCCACCTGATTTGCCAAGACTACTTCTGCCCCATGCTTTCCCTGCCAGCTCAGGACTCCAGCGCCCTGTCTTGCTGAGCCAGACACACCCGTCTGCTCCAACACAGAACCAGGGTCTGAATTACTTGCCCCAAAGCTGCAGGTTTACCTGAAAGCAGCTCACAGAAGTGTTCCTGTCTTTAACACTCAGATGCCCAACTCCCAATGGGGTCTAAACCCAAATAAATCTGTTTTACCCTTTATAAAGCTTATGCAGGGTAAACTCATAAATTGTTCGCCTTCTATAACACTGATAGAGAGATATGCACAGTTGTTTGCTCCCTCAGGTATTAATACATACTCTGAGTTAATTAATAAGTAAAAAGTGATTTTATTAAATACAGAAAGTAGGATTTAAGTGGTTCCAAGTAGTAATAGACAGAACAAAGTAAGTCACCAAGCAAAATAAAATAAAATGCGCAAATCTATGTCTAATCAAACTGAATACAGATAATCTCACCCTCAGAGATGCTTCAGTAAGTTTTTTTCCTCAGACTGGACACCTTCCAGGCCTGGGTACAATTCTTTCTCCTGGTACAGCTCTTGTTCGAGCTCAGGTGGTAGCTAGGGGATTCCTCATGATGGCTCACCCCTTTGTTCTGTTCCACCCCTTTATATAGCTTTTGCATAAGGTGGGGATCCTTTGTCTCTCTGGGTTTCCACCCCACCCACCCTGGAAAAGCACCAGGTTAAAGATGGATTCCAGTTCAGGTGACATGATCACATGTCACTGCAAGACTTCATTACCCACTTGCCAGCACACACATATACAGGAAGACTTACAGGTAAAACAGCCATCTGCAGACAATGGTCCTGGTTAATGGGAGTCATCAAGATTCCAAACCACCATTAATGGCCCATACTTTGCATAATTACAATAGGCCCTCAGAGTTATATTTCATATTTCTAGTTGCAGATACAAGACTGGTACATTTATACAGATAGGATGATCACACTCAGTAGATTATAAGCTTTGTAATGATACCTTATGAAGCACATCCCAGTTACATTATATTCACTCATTATCATATTTTTATAAAACCATATAGACTGCACAACATCACACCCCTAATTTATATAGTAATATGCTTAGCTATACCGGCTTAACCAATCATTCTTCTGAAATTTACCTAACCAATCCTAACATAGTGTAACATGATTAGCTAACCAATTATATCCCACCACCTTAATTAGTTTACACCCAGCAAAATTAATTATACAGCAGACAGAAACAATCACAGAACCAGACAGACACCTTGCAAATAAACAACAGCAAAGTGGGAACTATAATGACAAAACAGTACAGAAGTGAGGATTTCACAACTACATCTATAAAGACATAAGGGTTTCCCAGCAGTGTCTATTGATAAGTGAGTTCTTACCAAACAGAAAACTATCAAACTGAATTTCCTTTTACATCTTCTAGGCTCTTCCCTTTCTCTGGAGATGATAGATCAGATCACCTTCCTAACAGCCCCAGATTGCCTTAGTTCAATATGACTAGTTTGGAATGTGAGGACGTGACCGGTCGCTTCCCAGTTTATGGCTGCCTCTGCTGCTTAGCCAAAGGCCTCAGCCTAAGAACAGGGCCTCAGTCTGTCACAGGGAGAGATGGACCTTACACTGATTCTTTCTTTTATACCTGTATAACTAGCTAAATGATAAACATGTAAGCAGAGTCAGGATGAGCTCTACCCTGACATCTGGTGGTGAATTGTGGTGAGTCGTGGAAAAGAACTTCAGGGGCTGATCTTGTTTGCATAGGCACACCCACCCTGCCTGGCATGAGCCCACAGCAACCGAAAGTGGTCACTTTGACTGGTGTGGGATTCCCAGTTTCTCTGTTTTGGGGGCAGGAGGAATAAAGTGTGGTTACCCTGATTATGTGACTCAAGGACAATAAAACTGTTTTATGACAGAAGGACTCACCATCAACTAAGTAGGATTCGCTAGACAGGGGACATGGGGACAGACAAAGTGGGGATTTTCTGTAATATTTTTAGGAAGCCTCACTTTTCCCCAGGGGAAAACAGGCTCCAGTTTGCTCTCAGGGGAGACCAAGTGGCACAGGGGGGTGTTTGTCACCGTTCTGTCTGGGAGGAATGAATAGGGTCATTAAGGGACTGGTTGAAACTGACCTAGATCAAGAAGGGGTTCAAAGAGACAAAGCAAGCGTCACACCCATCCTCCGAGCAAAACGCCTGCAATCCATCCCCAAACCAACATGGTTCCCCTGAGCTACACGCACACAGAGCCCCAGGGATCTATGTAAGCTTCCTGGTGGTTACACACGGAGCATAATTAATCCTGCTTCTCCAAACCCAGGAGGAGCTGAGAATGAAAGGAGCAGTTTTTTTAGCTTTCAGCTCCCCTCCCCAGCCCCCTTCGCCAGCACAGCCCCAAACTCTCGGTGTAGCTTTTCCTGGCATCACACTGCTCACAGGCTCCTGCCTCTGCCGCTCTCTCTGCTCTCCTCTGTTCTGTCTTTCATCTCTCCTCAGCTCCCGTGTGATCTCTCTTCCCCCGCCCCTGCCCCCACCTAAACCAATCCTCAGCCAATAGCTCCTGGCAGGTTCACACCCACCTTTTGAATGAGGTGGGGCTGTGATGAAGTAGGAATCTCCTGTCCTATTTTTAGGATGCCGATGTGTGCCTCAGTTTCCCTTTCTATGGTGCATTGCTACCTAGGAGTGAAAAAAGTTTAAAAGCCATTTTTAGGGCAGAGAAGGAAACATGGGGTGCTTGGGTGACATAACCGGGGTAGGGTGGCTGGGTTGTTACAGGACTGGCTGAAACAGACCCGTGTCAATGGAGGGTTGGCCAAGACAATGGAGCCCTAAGGACTGAACAACTGACACTGATCCCCAGGGATCTCCGGCAGGCAGAGCGTGTGAACTCAGCCGGGGTCTGCCGGAGTTGGACAATGGACCATTGCAGCCACACGGCTGACCCTGAAGGAAGAGGGGGATCCCTTGAAGGTCAGGTGCCCTGAAGCGGTTCCTCCAAAGTCTCTATCAAAGCCAGGGTGCAGCAGTGATCCTGTCTGTAACGTGACCGCGTTTGAACGCCACATCCAGGGCATTCCAAAAGTTCTGGGAATGTTCTAGGTGCCAATGGCCAGAACCCTACTGATTTTTGGGGAGGTCAGAGGCGGGGAAAAGGGGCAAATGCAGCTTCTGGTTTTCTGAGCCTTCATGTCAAGTTTTTCTCTGGCACCACAAAGATGAATAACTGACCCCTTGAGAATATCAGTGATCACCTGACTCCTGGAGCTTAGATGTGACACATCATGCGATGCCCGGTGCTCATCCAATAACCCTGGCAGAAGAGGAGAACACAGCCTGCAATTTCAGGGTGGCAAGGGGCAGCGACAGGGGTGCCAACGCCAACCTACTGTTTTATCTCTCACAATTCCTCATGCACAGACTTTTATGCCCCAGCCACTGACTTCCAGGAAATCAAAATTCACGGCTAGGTGGTCAGTCAAGGCTCAGATGCCAGCCCCTGACCTGGTGGAAGCCGGATCTGAGAGCAGGGCATGGCCATGCTGGACAATACAATGGCTTAGATAATCGACTGTATCAATTGTAACTGTAAGTTACCACCAAAAGGTGGCTACAGACCTGGTGTCTGCCCAGCCTGGGTTGGAATAGGCTCAGTAGAATTTTATTTTTTTAATAATTTCGACGGATAGCAATACTTATTTTTAAGCATTTTTTCTATTTTTACCTATTTAATTTTGTTCAGTTGCAGGAAATGTGTGTGTGTGGGTCCGGGGGGGAGTCAGGCAATTATTTTACTGATAGCAAACGCGATCCAAAGTGTCTAAGCTTTATAACGTGTGGACACAAAATGTGAACACCACACGTGAAAATATACAATATAATATAAATCTCAAATCAGACCTCTCCATTCACTAGCCCGTTTGTAACAAGCCTAATTCCGAAGTCTAAATCATTGGATTTTGACACTAAGTTTTCAAGCAGCATTTTTCTTATGTAAAAAGCGACAAAACCACAAAGAGTCCTGTGGCACCTTATAGACTAACAAACGTATTGGAGCATGAGCTTTCGTGGGTGAATACCCAATTGCATCTGACGAAGTGGGTATTCACCCACGAAAGCTTATGCTCCAATACGTCTGTTAGTCTATAAGGTGCCACAGGACTCTTTATCGCTTTTCACAGATCCAGACTAACATGGCCACCCCTCTGATACATTTTTCTTATGTTTCCTATTGGTAAATTTTGATGATTGCTGATGGAAATATTTGTTCATTGGTTTGGGTTGATGCAGTGAAATTGACATTTACTGGTAACAATCTGATCCTTCCAAGCCTAGTGATGAATTAGAGTCCAGGATCAGAATTCGAAAAGACCTTGACAAATTGGAGAGTTGGTCTGAATTCAACAAGAAGAAATTCAGGAAAGGTGAGCACAAAGTAGGATGGAAAAATCAAATGCACAATTACAAAATGGGGAATCACTGTCTGGGTGTTTGTATTGCTGGAAAGGACCTGGGGGCTATAGCAGATCTCAAATTGAATATGAGTCAACAATGGGATGCTGTTGCAAAAAAGACTAATATCTTTTGGGGCTGTATTAAAAGCAGTGTCGTCAGTAAGACATGGGAGGTCATTTGCCCACTCTATGGTGAAGTCTCAGGTGACATACTGTGCTGAATTCTGGACACCACGCTTTAGGAAAGATGTGAACAAATTCAAGAGTCCAGAGGAGAGCAAGAAAAATGATCAAAGGTTCAGAAAACCTGACCTATGAGGACAGGTTAAAAAAACTGACCTTGTTTAATCTTGAGGAGACTGAAGGGAGATCTAGATTAGATATTAAGAAGAGCTTCCTAACTCTAAGGGTAGTTAAGGTGTCTGGAATAGGCTTTCGAGGGAGGTTGTGGAATATATCTGTCATTGAAAGTGTGGAAGCAGAGAAGGTTGTGGAAGCAGAGAAAGAACTGACAGGAAGGGGATGCAATGCATGACAGTTCATTAGCAAGGGTCAGGCTAACTGTAACCTTAATAACGCGAGATTTGTAGAAGCGAGGATTGTGTGAGGCGAGTGGGAAAGAACTGTGTGAGAAGTTGTTGTGACCTTGTGTAGATAATGTGTAGAAAATATTGTATGTAGACTAGAGTCAAAACAAGTGAGGAAAATAAGATATCAAGATGGCCTATGTATAAACAAAATGCAGCTGTTTCTTATTATTGTCTGTAATGAACGGTATAAATGCTGTAATTGTTTACCTGTAGAGAGACCTGTTTAGCTCTCTCCCTCTATGCAATTGATAGAGAGAAAATAAAGTATCTGACTTGCTGTACCCAAACAAAGAGTGAGAACTCTGTTATTCTCCGACAGGTTCACTCCCTCTGGGGCACCTGGCATTGGCCACAGTTGGAAGACAGGATACTGGGCTGGATGGACCTTTGGTCTGACCCAGTACGGCCGTTCTTATGTTCTCAAGTGATCATGGAAATAAAAACTGTATCCTAATGCACTTGCACAAGGGGGCAGCGTTAAGGTTGTGTGGGCAACCTTGATACTGCCACTGTCTATTTTTGAAGTGCTGTTTATTGCAACCAGCACATACCTTTAGCATAGGAGAAAGGCAGAGCAGGAACAATGGATGGAAGTTAAAGCTAGACAAAGTCCAATTAGAAATACAACACCAGTTTTTCATAGTGCGGGAGAGTAACTATTGGGTCAAACATCCGAGGACAGACATGGATTCTCTGAGCCCTGATGGCTTCCGGACCCAGCTGGAGGCCTCCCTGGAAAGTGTTTTGGTCAAAATAACGTAGCAGGGTTCCCAGTCCAACTGTTGTACCAACGGTGATGCCCTTTGTCTGTGGGCAGCTGCAGCTCTCGCACTTTCCTGCCGCCCAGTGTTGCCACCCACCTCCTTGCCCATGTACATCCCGGCTGTAGAGCCCACCCCTGCCCCAAAGGAATGCTGCTTAGGGAAGGGTTAGCTTTGCAGCCACAGTGGCAACCGCTCTGTATCCGACAACTCCAAGCTGACTGCTCAGCGACCCCAGTACCAACCCCCCTACAGCGATGCCTGCCTTGATGGCGTGACACCGATAGCGCCTTCTGTAGGTCTTCAGGAAGGTTTTAGCCTCCCGAGTCAGCTTCACCTTTAGTGCCGTCATCAGGGTCTTCTTCTCCGGCTCCTTCATCTCCTTCCGGCACCGCCTCAGCAGCAACCTGCGCTGCTCCACAAACTGCTCCTCCATTGCGCCTGGTGTCACCATCAGACAGTCGATCATACGCTGGGACAGGCCGTCCTGTGTTGAGCGGGAGAGAAAGGGGAGAGAAGGGGGCCCAAGGCTGTTAGAAGGGGCGTGTGTGCAACCCCGTCTCACCTATGGATCCTCCTGCTACAACACAGAAACTTCCCTCCACCCCATTCACTGAGATCTGGGCCTGTTGTGCCGGGCGCTGCACAACCCCCCCTGACCGAGATCAGGGCCCCCAGTGTGCATGGGTTGGAGTCTCCCATCTCCGCAGCCACCCTGGGAGCCGGAGATCAGAACTCCCATCTCCTGCCCCAAAGCCCAGAGCTCGTGGGTCAGGCTGGGATGGTTCCCTGGGGTTCCCCTGGCTAGAGGCACAGCGCTCCCCTCCCTGACTCACCTTCTGCCTCAGAAAGTCAGCGTGGTCTCGGCGGGCTCTGTCCATGACTCTTTTGTTGGTGGCGTGACACTGATAGCGCCCTCCGTATGTCTCCAGGAAGGTCTCGGCCTCCCGAGTGAGCTCTGCCTCTAGCGCCGTCAGCAGGGTCTCCTTCTCCGGCTCCTTCATCTCCTCCCGGCACCGCCCCAGCAGTGACCTGCGCTTCTCCACCAACTGCTGCTCCATTGCGCTCGGATCCACCTTCAGACAGTCATCCATGCGCTGGGACAGGCCGTCCTGCATTGAGCGGGAGAGAAGGGGGCCAAGACTGTTAGAAGGGGAGGGTGTGTGACCCTGTCTCACCAATGGACCCTCTGGCTACAGCACAGCAACTTCCCCTCACTCCTGTGACCGAGATCAGGGCTCAGGATGTGCCGTGGTTGGAGTCTGCTATCTCCGCAGCACCCTACAAGCCAATATGACGTCCCATCTCCTGCCACACAACCCACAGCCTGCGGCACTGGCTGGGATTTTTACCTGGGGTTCCCCTGGCTGGGGGCACAGCCCCCAGACAGACTCACCTTGTCCTTCAGAAAGAGAGCGTGGTCTGCGTGGGCTCTGTCCAGGACTCTCTGGTTGTGGAAGGTGACGGCCATCTGTGCAGGGAGGACAAGGCTGGGGTGAGCCGCAGTTCATGGGGCCCCAACTCCACCTAGTGGCTGCAGTTCCCACCGCAACAGCCTCCCCTAACAGAGCGACACTGTTAGCCCATGTGGCAGCCGCTTGGGTCTTCGGGCAGCACCGGTTTGCAGTGTGACCCTCACAACAACCCAGCCTCGGCTCTCTTTCCCACCCCGACCTGCACTTGGCTCTGACGCCACTTTCCCGTAGCCGAGGACTTTGCAAACCCCTGTCTCAGCTGGGCTCAGCCTGAGGCTGGTATTTGGGGGCTTTTATCAATTGCCAGAAGGCAGGTGGTTTGGGTGTGAATCTCAGCTCTCGTTTGGGGGTGGGGGAGGGGTATTGTTCTGGGCTGGGTTAAATCATGTTGTGGAGGATCAATGTCTCTGGAATAGTCCGTGCTCTGGCGTTGTGCTGGAGTGGCTATTGCAGAGGAGTTACTCCCGAATAGCTAGGCCGGTCTATTCCCGCCATGTAGATAAGCCCCACTCCCCAATTGTCCTCTAAAAGAGGGCCTGGGTAGTACCCGTCCCAGCCGATCTGAGGCTGACGCCCAGTAGAACTTTGCAGTCAATGTCTCAGGTTATATCTACATGGCGATGTAAGGCCAGGGTTAGTAGCACTCGAGTTACCCACCCCTGGGGTTGTTAACCTAGGGCTGGAGCATCTACACTGGTTGAACCCTGGTCCCAGCCTGCGGCTCCAGCATCTACACTGCATTATGCAGGCCTGAGAGCAACCGCCCATATCCCAGACTCCCTAGCGCCCTCCTCAGATACGGCCGCTCTGGCCCTTTGTTGGCGGTGCAGCCTGGGAAAACTGGACTGTCCACCAAACTTGACGGGCCGGAGAAGAAAGTCGGCCTGTGGGATACTTTGGGCGGCCTCCCAGAGCATGAGTCCAATGGAGCTAGGGCTACACTGCAAAGCAACAGGGTTTGAACCCTGGCTCCCAGCTTGATTCAGGCTCGGACCCTTCACACCTGATGGATCCAGGGACCCTAGTCCCATATTCCAGGGATTACAATAGTGGCTTTAAAGCCATCTTCCCTCACCACTGCTGCCACATCTGCCTTCCATGATTCACTGGGGCCATGGCCCACACACCAAGAGAGGAGATGCTGTTGCATTATGGGAAATGCAATTCAGATGCCTCATTCTTCTGCATATGCTGGGCTCCCTGGCCAGACTTCATTTCCCATGATGCACCAGGGCCATGATATCCAGCTTCTCCTCGCTAAAATAAGGATCCATGATGCATTGTGGGAAATGTAGTTTGCCCCATTCTCCTCTATTCACCCAGTTCCCTTGTCACACTATATCACAAAGAGAGGTGATGCTGGTGCACCATGGGAAATGAAGTCTAGTTGCCCCATTGTCCTCTGCAGCTGGGCTCATGGGAAGGGCTGTCCCACCAGTGTGCCCAACCCATAGAGGAGAATGGGGCATGTGAGAAGCATGAACAACAGTTCCCAGGAGCTACCTTGGTGGCATTGCCAAATGGAAACATTTGGGGGCTTTGCAGGAAACTCAACGGCTTCTGCAGGAAAAACAAAAATCCCCATTTTCAGGCCAGCTGTAATAAACTGCTCTCATTTGCCCGCCAACACCCACAGGGCTGGTTGACGCTACAGATCTCACAGACTGGAGATTCTGGTGGGTTGAACCCTCCAGCACCAGCCGCCCTCTAGTCTAGAGAAATTCAGTCTAAGAACCTGAGATTTCATCCAGACCATTTTCCAGTCATGTCCATCAGGATGGACCCAGCTCCCCAAATCACCTCAGCTCTGGCATGCATGGAAACGGGGAGACACCCCACTATCAGGTCAGAGGCAGAGATGGTACCTGACAGGGGGAGGAGAAGCCGAAGCGATGTGTCTTCATTAGATCAGAGAATTTCTGCAAAGGAACCAAAAGGAATCATCATTTCACAAACTCCACAGGGCTTAGAAAGGCTGTGAACATGTGGATGGCTCACCCGGTGCTGAGATGCAGCCACCTCTGGTGTGGGGGTGGGGAAAGCTGGGGAACAGCCGCACAGCAATGTTCCATGGATACTGGGGTTATCACTGACTGCCAGAGGAGAGCACTCCCATCCCACTCCCTGCAGCACAGCTGGCTGGTCCCCACCTTTATCCAGGAAGCGAGCTGTGTCCCGGTGAGCAGCTCCCCATGCTGGTTCCTCCGGACGTGTCGACCGGCCGAGCCCACCAGGGCAGTGACATAGTCCCTCAGGCTCTCCCGGAAATCCTCATCCATGTCTGTGAAGGGGAGAGAAGGACGATGATGAGGGAATCTAGGGCCCATCTGATCCCTCTTCTCTTTACCTTCCACGTGCGGGCATGAGCGGCGACCCAGTCGCATTGTTCTGCACATGGCAGGGGGCTCAGAGCTGCTCTCTCGGATCTGTTACCTCTCAGGGTTCCCTCGCTCCCAGTCATGATCCGCTTGCCAGGGGAGGGCATCAAGTAACAGCGGCTGCTGCTTCTGCTCAGCGCTTCCAGGGCCTTGGGGTGTTTGCAAGGGGACGTCTCCTCCAGAATCTGCCGGAGCCCGGGGAGAATTGTTACATTAACACACAAACATCTGTGTTAACATTAGCCAGACCTGCCGGGCAGTCAGAGAGGGGCTGGAGGAGCTCTGGCTTGTTTGTGGTAAGTATTGGAAGGGGAGCAGTGAACGAGGCAGGGGATTGCAAGACGAGAAAGGAGTGGCTGTCAGTCCCAGTCTCCTCTCCCAGGCCCCCCCACCTCCCAGTCTATCCAGACCCCTTGTCCCACCCTGCTCCTTTCCCTCCCCCAAGCCTGGCTTTTCTCCCCTCCACACTGCAATCAAGCTGCTTCTTCCTCCATGCTGCCTGGGCTTATTGAGAGTAGGGGAGCGACAGGCACCCCATTTCTCAGTTCTGGTTCAGGAAATGTCCAGCTTTGCTTCTGCAGCCCCCGTGTGGAGCTTGCTCAGTGAGGATGGATTCTTTGGAGACTTCAGTGGCTAAACTCTCAAACAGTGTTTCTCAACCTTATTGTGCTGGTGACCCCCCTTTGGACTTAAAACACAATTGTGACTCCCGCTAGTTGAAAAAATCGTGTCCTCCTATCGTTAGCTCGGGCTTCAGCTTCAGCTCCGGCCATCGGGGTCTGAAGCAGGTAACTTAGCTTAGCAGGGCCCCCTGTGGCAAGGGGCCCCAGGCAATTGTCCTATTTGCTACCCCATAACACCAGCCCTGCACTTGTGACCCATCCTGCAGCCCCCTGCTCTAGAAAGTCTCTCCTGAGTATTTGCAAACTGAGATTATCCAACAGCTTGTTACTTGGCCAAATGTGAGGGGATTTTCTAGGGAACAGCCCGTGGCATATCTCTGACACACGGGCCTCCCCCCTGCCAAAGCAGGGGGGCGCTACAAACAAGGAACCTCAGAATTTTCTTTCAATATTGCCAAACAACATGTTTTCTTTAGCCTCATTCTCAGAAAAAGCTGGAGAAAGACAGAAAGAATTCAGGCTGGGGCAGAGAACAAGCATGGAAAACTTCAGCCCAAACAGTTAAAGTTTGGCAAAGTTATAGGCAACCTTTATAACGGGTGCTGCTACCAGTCCCCTAGAGGGGAAAGGCCCCGTGTCCCATTCTCCAGCTCCCTGAGCCAGCCAGTGCTCTGCTGTGGGGCCAGATCGGAGCGGGCGCTCCCTAGAGTGGAAAGGCCCCATGCCCCATTCCTCTGCCCTCTGAGCCCCACACTCACCTGTCTGACGTCTCTCAGATGCTTCTTCCCACCCCGGGCTCCAAGGACCAGGGAACTGCTCCAATCCCTCACCAGCAGGTCTAGATGCTGCAGGGGAGACAGGAGGGGAGTGGGGGTCACTGAGGGTGGGGGAGGCTGGGACGGGGAGAAGAACGGTGTCTGATGGGGAAACCTCAACCCCTCAGGAGTGGGGCAAGGGGTGCATGGGGCAGGAGCATGCTGTGGAGAGAGAGAGGGGTGCAATGTGGGGACACGTGGGGCAGAGCGGGTAATGAGGGGGGGAAGCCATCTCACCTGAATGGGCTCCAGTCCATAGGCCTCTCCCACCACTTCGGCCACCTGAAGAAACATCTGCAGAGCAGAGAGAATGGGGGGAGGGGTGAGTCTGGGGTCTTGGTGGCATTTACACTGGGTGGGGGAATCCTGCCTGTGAATAGAAAGGGGCCTGATCGCCCCCCTGTATCTGAGCTGCTCTCTCTGCAATTGCAGAGGGTGAGGCCCGTCAAGCTAGAAATGAAGCTAGAGATGGACAGAGACATTTTCCATGGGGCAGAGGGAGAAGAAGGCTGCACTGGGCCAAGAGGGTGGGGGGAGGTCGTGGGGCTTGGGGGTCTGGCACCAGGGGGATGGCCATTGGTGCACCCCTCTTTTCTGTGCCCTATGAACTGTGAGCCAGAACTGTGGCTTGCTCCTTCTCTCCAGGGCGCTCCGTTGAGGTGGGGGCGGGAAGGTGGGTCAGTGATCTCGATGTGAGGTCTCTTTCCCCAATGGGTTCCCAAGATCCACCCCACAAAACCACCATTGCCTCAGGCCGACAGCCCTACCAACACTCTTTCCACAGCCCCAGCGGAGACATGACCGCTCTGCTCACGCCGCGAACGATCTCAGCCACACAGGTTTTACCCGAGCTCTCCCCCGGCTACCGTATCTCTGCATTAACCAGGTTTTTGTCAGTGACTGGACCAGGGGAAGTGTGAATAGATAAAAACCCTCCCAGAGCCAACCCCTCCCCCGCACAGAGAATCCCCCCCAGGGCGCGGTGCAGGGGCAGGACACGCCGCGTACCGCAGGCGGCAGTGACATCGCTAAGGGTGCAACTACCAGGGGCTTGAACCGGTGGGGCTGGGGCTGGGTAAGAGCCTGGAGAGCAAAGCACAGCAGGGGGGCAGAGCGACCGCCCCAGGCCCGGCCCCAGCAGCTTCCCACCGAGGGTGGAGCTGGGCTGGAGGGGAGGGAGAGGTCCTATTTTGGCCCAGTGGCCAATGCCGGACACCTGGGAGCAGAGAGCCAGGCTGGGCCATGCGGTGACAGTGCTGACTCCAGAGACCCACGTGACCATGGGAGAATCAGTTTCTCTCTCTGGGCCTCAGTTTCCCCACAGGAGCTATGGGGAGGGATAATAACCCTGTGGGGCTAACGGGAGAACCTGGCCCGGCCACATTCCGCATTACGCTGCCCGGCCTCACCTCCAGATATTCGAGATCCGGGTCCTTCACCCGACAGCCAATGTTCAGTATCTGCAGATAACCAGGAGACAGACAGAGCTACAGCAACGAGCAGTGACGGCCGCCCCAGGCCACTTCCCAAGCACGTCACCCACCCCGAGCACAGCGCCCTCTAGCGCCGCATGGGGCATCGGGGACAGCCCTGAGTGCCAGGGGAGAGCGCCCCTTGCTAAGCAATCCACCCCACTCCCTGAAGCACAGCACCCCTCACTGCCCCCCCACCCCGCCAACCTGGTAGGAGCTGAGCAGCATGGACATGGCGGAGAGTTTGATGCTGGTCTCCTTGTTGCTTTCAATGTTCATAGAGCCCTCGGTGTCGACCAGCAGCACGGCCACCTGCGGGCCAAGAGTGAGAGCCCCAGGTCAGCTCCCGGCTTTGTCCAGCCACCCACGGCCCCTCCACACCCCTGCTGAGCCCTGATGGGACCTGGCATCTCATTCTTTGCCTGCCCCCGGACCCTCCCAGTGTTAGCGCCCTCCTTCTGTCTCTTCTCCATTGCCCCCTTCATCTCTGCACCAGGTTCCCCTTGGGCCTTCTGCCCCACATCTCCATTCGCTCCATCCTTCCCTGTATCCCCCATTCCCTCTGTTCCCAGCCCTCTTCCCCTATTCCCATCTCCAGCACCCACATGACTCCCTCCCCTCTTCTTTGCACCCCTGACCCTTACCTTGCCTCCCTTTCCCGGGACCCAGAAGGGCTGACTCCAGGCCCACACCCCCTTGGTGACATTCTGGGTACCGACTCGCCACTCGAATCCCTCCAGGGGCTCCTCCTCCTGGCCCATCCACGACCCGTCCCTCACGTCCTGTGGAGGAGGGGGAGTGGGGAAACGTGGGGGGTAGGGTGACCAGACAGCAAATGTGAAAAATCGGGACGGGGGTGGGGGGTAATAGGAGCCTATATAAGAAAAAGACCCAAAAATCGGGACTGTCCCTGTAAAATCAGGACATCTGGTCACCCTAGTGGGGGGTCAGTGCAGGGTCGGGGAGGAGAGTGATTGGTACTCCCCTCTCCCACGCTGAAAGCCCTACGAAGGGGATGGGGGTTAATTGTTCTAGTGTGGGGCAGGGAGGAAAACATGGTGATGGGCTCAGAGTCTGATAGACAGACAAACAGACCCACTGCTGTCTTAGACAGAGAGAGACAGACAGACTCTCGGCATTCCAGACAGACACACAGGCAGACAGAGAGACATGCTCAGATCCAGACAGACAGACAGCACTCTCAATCAAACAGGCAGACATGCTATGTTCCAGGGTAGGGTGCATCCATGGCTCCAGCGAACTGGACATGTTGGTGGGGAGAGAGAACGCTCACAGACACGTGTGCAGCTCTGAGCCCTCCAGCAGGGGGCAGGATGGGGCTGTTCACACCCAGCTCACTCCAGCTCCCGTTCACACTCACCGGGCTCTGGAGCCGGCGCAGCAGGTAGTTCAGCAGGAAGGATTTGCCCCGGCGCTGCTCCCCGATGATGGACACCAGGCAGACGGGGGCGTCCCCCACCCCACCCTGCTCCAGGCAGCGGCTCAGGGCCTCCTCGTCCAGGGTCAGGCCCCCTTCCTCGTCCAGACGCACCAGCTGCACTGGGCGCCCCTGCTCCATCTGAGCTCCCGGCCCCTGCTGCGGGGACAGAGCAGGGTCAGAGCTCGGACCCCACCCCTGAGCCAGCCAGTCCCTGCCCATGGATCAGAAACCTATGCACCATTCCCACCCCCCTGATCAAGGCAGTCCCCCTGCCCTGGGGCTGGATCAGAGCCAGCACTCCCTGCAGGGGAAAGACCCCTACATTCTTGTTGGGATGCATTAAGGGAGACTGTGTCTGCATGGTGAATACCCTTCAAGGAATGGAGGTTCAGGGGATCTTCAATGGGATTCTACCTGTCCCTGGAGGAGGAGAGTGAAGGGGAGACAAGATGCTGATGATCAACAGATGGCTCAGGCAGTGGGGCTAAGGAGGGCTTGGGGATGTTCGACCACTGGGAGGCGCTCACGGACAGAGGACTGGTCTCATGGGAGGGATGCCACCTGCGTGCGGAGGGAGATAGACTTCCGGGATGGAGGTTGGCACAGCTGATGAAAAGGGCTTTAAACTAGGAACCCTGGGAGATGCTCTTGGAATCTCCAGGCCCGATTCTCACACTGAGCGGGAGGCAAATCAAGTAGGACAGGGCCCAGCAGTGGAGAAAGGAAGGACAGAGGGCGGGAGAATGGACGACAAGAGGAACTACAGTGCCAAGAGCACCGACACTAACAGTCAGGTGGCCGATACTGGCAGTAAAACGACTGAACCTACCCGGGTGAGAAATCTGAGCAAAGCCAAGCGGAAGCAGTGAGTTGTCTGCTCAGCAACGCCAGGAGCCGGGTGACAAAATGGAGGAAGTAGAACTACGGGTGTGGGACTGGAAACCAGATATTATCGGGAGAACAGAACCATGGGGCAGTACAGCCATGGCTGGATTACAGGAAAGAAAGGAAAAAGGCAAAGGTTGTGGAGTAGCATTGTGTGTTCATGACGAGGTGGAGTGGAAAGGAATTAGAAGGGCTGGAATGGATAAAACAGAATCTGTTTGGGTCAAAATCACTTTGGGGAAGAAAGGTACCAGAGGCTCCCCTGGGACAGTGCTTCGGGTCTGCTACAGACCCCCAGGATCCACGTTGATACAGTGCCACATGGGAAATTAGTTAAACTGTAGAAGTTAGGAATTAAGATGAGAATTGAAAGGTGGATAAGGAACTGGTTAAAGGGGAGACTACAACGGGTCATACTGAAAGGGGAACTGTCAGGCTGGAGGGAGATCACTAATGGAGTTCCTTAGTGCTCGGTCTTGGGACCAATCTTATTTAACATTTTCATTAGTGATCTAGGCACAAAAAGTGGGAGTGTGCTACTCAGATTTGCAGATGACACACAGTTGGGTGGTATTGCCAATACAGAGGAGGACCAGAATATCATACAAGACGATCTGGATGACCTTGAAAACTAGAGTAATAGAAATGGGATGAAATTCAATAGTGCAAAGTCATGCAGTTAGATACTAAAAAGAAGAATTTTGGCTATAGGCTGGGGATGTATGAGTTGGAAGCGACAGAGGAGGAGAAAGACCTGGGTGTATTGGTTGATCACAGAATGACTATGAGTCATGAATGTGATGTGGCCATGAAAAAGGCTAATGCAATCCTAGGATGCATCAGGCGAGGTATTTCCAGTAGAGACAGGGAAGTGTTACTGCCATTATTCAAGGCACTGCTGAGACCTCACCTGGAATGCTGTGTGCATTTCTGGTCTCCCATGTCTAAAAAAGATGAATTCAAACTGGGGATTTTCACCTGCCTCTGCAGCATGGGTAGGGGTCACTTCCTGGTTTGAACTAGAGGAAATGGTGGTTTCTCTGTAACTTGAAGTCTTTATATCATGATCTCAGGACTTCCAAAACTCAGACAGAGGTTCTGAGTCTATTACAGGAGTGGGTGGGTAAGGTTTTGTGGCCAGTGATATGTAGGAGGTCAAACAAGATGATCATGATGGTCCCTTCTGGCTTTCAAGCCTATGAGTCTGTGCCACATTCCCCACCCTTCTGAGCCAGCCAGTCCCCACCCTGGGGTTGGATCTGATCCAGCATGCCCTAGAGGGGAAAGGTCCTTTCCCCTTATCTGGCTTGTCTGGTCTCACTGGCGCTGTCTCTTCCAGCAGCTGCAGGCAGCCCCAGTTGTGGCCACACTCGATGGAGACAGGGTTGTTCAAGCAGATGGAGCAGGTGATCTGCTCCCAGAATCTTTCCATCCCTCCGACCCCACAGGCTTGGGGAGATTCACTGGCTCAGGACCTAGCACATGGGAACACCAGCGCTAAGATGGGGGATGGGAGATGGTTAGAACTGGGGAGCAGGGGCGCTGGGAGCCAGGACTCTTGTGTTCTGGCTCTGGGAGGAGATTGCGGTGGGGTGAGGGGCTGGGCTCCAGGACTCCTGGGTTCTATCCCTAGTTTTCCACCACTTGGCAGGGTAAGTTTCTATTCAGCTGCTGTGAGCTGGCCACTCCCATTCTCTGGCCGGGCTGGAAACACAGGACTGGGCTCAGCAGTGTGGTGAGACTCTCAGAGCCCCCTGGTGTTTGCCAGCCCAGCTGTCCAACTAGCCTGGGAAATGCCAGCTGCCGTTGCTTCTGTTCTTATTGCAGGGGGGCTGCCTTGGGCATCCTGAACCCTCTGCCCCCTGCAGCTCACAGGGCGCCAGGGCTCCTGGACCAAGCACTGCCAGCCAGAGCAAACTGCACCCACCAGGCATTAGCCGCAGGCAGGGAAAGGGGATTGAAGGAAGGTCACCGGAGTGGATCTGGGCACCGAGCCTGGCAGCTCTGACAGCCAGAGCCAGCCCTGCTCTGCCTCCTGGCACATCTCAGAGCACCCTGTTGCTGAGATACCCTCAGCCCTGGATCTTAGCTCTGCTGGTGCCCCTCACTCCCGCCCCGCAGCCCCTGCTAGCCCAGCCCTGCCTCCCCCCGCAGCTCTGCCGGTGCCCCTCACTCCCGACCCGCAGCCCCTGCTAGCCCAGCCCTGCCTCCCCCCGCAGCTCTGCCGGTGCCCCTCACTCCAGACCCGCAGCCCCTGCTAGCCCATCCCTGCCCTGCCCCCCAGCTCTGCCGGTGCCCCTCACTCCCAACCTGCAGCCCTCTGCTATTATAGCCCGTAGCTCACCCTGGTGAACAGACTCAAGAGCAGATCCTGAGGTTACTTCTCTGTTTGTCTCTGATGTTTTCCCTCTGCCTCCCTTGCTCTCAGTGTCTCTCTCTGCACAGTGTAATGGGCTGGCCACTCCCCACTCAGTTTGTCTTTCAGTCTCCGGGTTTGATCACTGGATGCCATGGGTGCGGCTGAGGGCTCTTGGCTCCTTTCCCTTCTGCCCTTTCCAGAGGGGACAATTGTGTAAGCAGAGGAATGGTCCTGCGATTGTGGGGAACTTTCCTGCTTTTTGCACGGCCCTGGTGGAATCATTTAGCAAAAGGCGCCGAGTCCTCGCTCCAACTCCCATTACCCAGAAGCCTGCACCTCGCGAACTCCCCTTCCCCTCTCCGACAAGGCTGGGCCCAGGGCTCCTGCGGTGCTTGACCCACCCCCAATCATGTCGTGATCACTCAGGACAGGGACCAGGCCAGGTATTCCCACTCAGGGGTGCTCTCTCCACACTGGATGCTTTCCTGACCCACTGATCGCTGCAATCAGTTAAAACCTAATACAATTTATTAAACAGCAACTATAAGAAAACTCAGGAAAAACTGGGAAAGGTTAAAGGAAACAAGAAGCCCC